GCAGATCATGCCAGCATATGCCAAAGAGTAACAACAAATAAAACATACTAAATGATTGCATCCGATGTTCGCTTTTGTGGCTTATGTCATCCTTTTTCCAAATAATTTGTATAATCAATACCTGCTTTCATCAATAGAAAATAAATAAACAATAATAAAATCATCCAATGGATTCAATAGGATTTGATTGAAGTCAGCTCGCCTTGGCCTTAGCAGCCGCTTTGGTTTTGGGAATGGGTTCAGCCTGTCAGAACGAAATAAAACGAGCCAGGATATCTCAGCGACCCAAGTCCATTCAGGAGATCACACCTCTAAACCCATTGAATCAACATGAATGAAAAAATAATCAACAAGTTTCAACCTGCCTGGACATGGATTGGATTGGATTCCAAATCATTCCGATAGATTCCAAGAGTCATGTCACAGCATCACACTGCAACACCCCTCCTATCTCTCCTCCAAAAAAAGGAACAAAATATAACAATATGATACAAAATGACGCGAACCCCATCAAACCCCTTCGTGTCGCCTTCGCTTTCCCCGGCACCAAAGACGCGGCCTTTCACAGCGAGCCAGTATGACCCAGGAACCAACAGTATCCCAAATCCATGCAAGAGAGATCAACGGTTGAACAAAAAAGACACCAGGATCTGAAATGCATGGCTCACCCATATTCACATTTTTTCCCATAATATCCTTCTTTCATAAGTATGCCAAGGGGGGGGTACACCCCTTCCACCACCTTCATTGTGTTTTTTTGGTCAAACCATGTCAAACCTGAATAAAATTAGATGATCAGATGTTCATGCATAATGTATGCCAATGGGGGGGGACACCCCTTCCCCCACCTTCATTGCTTTTCAAAGGTGAAACCTAAATAAAATAAGATCATCAGATGTTCATGCATAATGTATGCCAATGGGGGGGTACAAGCTTCCCTCAATCTTCTTTTATTTTCACTGGCAAAAAAGTCCCAAAAAAATCACTAAAGAACATGGAATAACGTGAGCACATGTCCATAAACCTCAAGAATGTATGCCAGCGCATGCCAGCGCTATCCAGCAACGTCCCAAATGAGCTCAAAATAATTCAACAAAATCTACCCAATAATATCCAATGATTCCAAATGCTTTTGATAGTTACAGAAAAAATTGACCGTGACCATCCGTGACCTATCTAAATTTTATCGAATTTTATGGGTCGGATATGATTGGAATGGCATGGAATGGCCTCCAACTGTCACGTCACAACATCTTCCTGCAGTACCCAGAGCAAAAAAAAACATGTTCACGCCTTCGACTTCGAACTTGCTGCACTGGAGTTTGAGGTGTTTGCATGTCCCTGGCAGGAGAGGTCAAACGAGCGACGATGTAATAAAAACATCTAAACTCATCAAAATCATCAGACATTTCCTATCATGTCCATTCTTCTTGTCATTTCATCATTTCCCTTGTTGCTCAGTCCCGGCCTTGCACAATTGTTTCAGGACACTCAGATCCAGTGTATTTTCTTTTACGCAGCGATCTTGCAATTCAACTATCTCTTCCCGAGTTTGCCGGCCGCAAATCCTCGCTCCTCTTTTGATGCCATCCTCAGGGCATCTGTCAAAGATAGCATTTCCACAGCATTCCCACATTTTTCAAATATGTTCAAATTTCAAATATGTTTTTAGATTTTATATCTCGGAAATTATGCACAGGTTTCAATGGGCTGAAATCCAAACTTACCAATCAAACCAGGGCTCGTGCAAACTCAACACCCAGCTTTCCACACCATAGCGTGACTCCGAGTGAATGTCGAAATCATACTTCTTCACTTTTGGCGCCATCACAAGCGAGTGGCGTGGTTTGTAGCCAAAAACGGCTTTCGGAAGAACGGCGACCGGCAAATTAAACATGTTTTTTTTTCAGTTCAGCAACTTGGGTGCCTAGAAAACATGAAAAGTATAAAACTAAGGGGGCAGTGAATTCCAGCTGACCTATGAATATCCAAAATAGACACACGCACGTAAAATGTATAAACCGGGGGGTTCATGGAACACTGAGGAATCCTGGGGATGCACACGGAATGGTTAACCAATACGTACGTAAAAAGTATAAAGGCTCAGGGGTTTAAAACCCCTAGGAACCCCAGGAATTCCAAAACCTCTGCAAAATGTATCAAACTGGGGGGGGGTGGTTCGAACTGCCTTTGTCAACCCCATCCATCTTCCACTCCCCCCCCCGCGAACGCTACGTGGTGTATAAAATTTTTCCCTGGGGAAACCTAGGCAGAAACACGTAAAAAGTACAAGCTTGGGAGCGTACCCCCCACCCCTCTTGTACTTTTTTAGGGGGTGGGTGATTTTCTATCCATTTGTCAAAACGTGATTGTTGTAACAAAGGTGGAACACGATCCTCAACTTGTTCCCACTTCCCGTGGACTAAGATCCAGGTGCTCCGAAGGCAATCTGCAGGAAGTTTGACACCAGCTGGTCTTGTTCTGAATAATGTAGGGGTTTTGACCACAAAGATGGGATCCATACCGGGTAGCTCTTGAAGCTTTTCTCGACTTGAAAGACCCTTACGGTACACCTCAGGTGGCAGTATGGGTGTTTCAGTATATGGAAAATTGGGAACCTCATCTGTCCTTGACTGAAAAACTTGACGAACTGTAGTGTCAACATCTGTAGTAGGCTGCACTAAGTCGGCCAATTGCTTCGAACCAAGGTCTTCGGGCTCCAAAAGATTGATCAACATACAAGCCTTTTTCCAGGCTAGGGGGTTTGTAAAACCTTTCGTGTGGATGTCCGCGGCCATCTTCGCTGTGATCTCGTACATGAGAACAAAGTGATCTTTGCTGAAATGCTCATGTAATGACGTAATAGAAATTCCATGAGTTCTTTCCAGATGCCGCATTGTTGGATTCCTTCCAGAACGAACCACACCAATCATCCCTTGATTGTCATCATGAAACAATAGCTTGGGAGATGATTCTGTAAGCGTTTCCCAAATACTGAGTGCAGGAAGACCCATTGTTCGAAGGGTTACATCAGCGGCTACGATCTCAGCTTCAGGTGTAGAATGGCTCACACACCCCTGGCGTTTGCTCCCACCAGCTAATGGAAACCGAGTACGTTTCCCCTGAATATGCATATGAGAACCTGATGTGGACCTCAATGATTGTGCACATCCCGCAAAGTCAGCATCTGCATACAACGCAATGGATAGGTCTTTCATGTCATTACCGACCCATCCAATCATCCTCTTCCCTAAGGTAGAGTTGACATAGCACATCAGATGGTATAGTTTGGCATCATCTTGAATGGACCATTTTGTCACATTGCGTGCTAATGTATTGATTGATCTCAACAAATCAAATCGGGCGATCCTTGCTGCATATAAGAGCTTCATCAAGATGCTAGCAGCATCAGGAGCAAGTGCACCTCGTTGGACTTCAACAGATTCCGGCCGAGAATCAGAGGCATCGGGCTGTAAGGCAACCGACGATCCAGGATCGAACTTTGTAGAACACCAGGGACATTGAACTGCATGCTTAGGATCCCCAGGTGCTGGTGCTCGAGACTTATGTTGTTTGGTCTTTTCAGGGAGACTAGGTGTTGAGACTTGTTTTAACTTCGTATCTTTTCCAACAAGTTCAAGATACTTTTCAACAGAGAGCTTTAAAAGACCTTCCATATTGTAGGTCATGGTTGTGACCTCTGTGCCATCATGCAGGCGATTGGTTCCTTTGCTTAGCAAACAACCAAGATAGAGACCTAAATCTGTCTCTAGTTCAATTCGTAGCTTTGACCTTAACATCTCCCACCCCTTGGTGAGGTTCTGTGCTGGCCCAGCTAACTTCAGATCATCAACATAGATGACTAACAAAAGTTTGAGTTCCTTATTGAAATACATTGATGGCCATTCCTCCCCTACTGGCATAAAAACAACTTCACGGACATGTTTATCACAATGTTGTTCCCACATCGTGCCCGCATCAGGATGACCATAAAGTGCTTTGACAAGTCGCACTACCGGTCTTCTGAACTTCCGGATGTCGATGTCGTCCGGCCATGCATCTTCGGGGAGTTCGACCCAACAAGGAGGTCCCGTAAGCCGTAAGCCTCGCTTGAATATATGCCTGAATGGCATCTGCCAGCTTCACGTTGTGGCCGGGGATGCAACCATAGAAATCTGCCCATCGCGAGGCTTCAAATGTCGCTGGTGAATTGCCGAGGTCCTGGAAGAACGCGGCTTCCCAGTGCTGATTCTTCACTTGGTTTCCAAGTAGAACGCCTCGACCTTTGAACTTTCGTCCAGGGCTCCCCTTTGGTAGCTGATAGTTCTTCTCGACACAAATGCCGTGAACTCGTGCCATATGAACTTCTTTTCCTTCTCGTTTGGCGTCTGCTACAACTTCATCGTATTCACGAACAATTGAGAAATCATAGACGCCCTGCTTGTGCTGTCCCAACCACTCGTTCCTCATAGAAGCCTTGGCGTCCGGGTCTTCCATCATCTCTTTACGACCAACTGGCCGTGAGACCATCGCGTTGAACAACTTCCCAAACCTTACATCACTTTGACCGAACTTCTCGCGATGCTCAAGGTCTTGATGAACACAAGGCATACAAGGAATCGAACTCACGAAGTGGTTGACCTTGGACTTGCCGTCGGAGTCTTTTGAGGTAGAAGCCGTTGGTGCAGCTTTAGCAGGTGCCGTGACTTTACCAGTGTTGAAGTCATAGTGAACATCTTCCCAGTGAGCCCTTGGTCCTCTTCCAACTTCATGTTCGGACCACTCATTCCATTCATTCAAGAACTCTTGACCATCATCATCACTTGGGACGTTTGTGCTCGTTTCACTGGGTGCTGAAGGAGAGGCATTGTTGTACTTCTTGATGTCGGTGAGATCACTCACTCCATGGGTTGTTGACAAACATTCCCATGGGTTGCGGCCTCTTTTGTGGTTCAGCCTCGTCATTGGATCGCGGGGCGTAGATATACGTTCCCGCTCACCTCGGAGCATCCCCACGCCGACAGCAGCGTCCTTGCCGCCATCTTTGCCTGAGAGCTCTCCTTCGAATCTTTATTACTATTTTTCTTCTTCTTTCGTCCTTCGTCTTTTGGTGGATCTTTGTGTGAACTAGCCTCGGACTTCTTCTTCTTCTTCTTTTCAGCAATCTCTGCTTTGGCTTTCTTCTCTTTCTCTTTCTTCAACTTGATCTCCTTGAGCTTCTCAGCTTCTTCTTCAAGCTTTCCACGACGAATGATGACATCTCTCTCCTTGGCGGATAGTGATCTCCATTCTTCGGGGCTGTGGCTACTCTTTGGTCTTGGTGATCCTCTTACTTCTTTGCGACCATCTGGACCAACTCGATAAGGTCGTCCACGTTTGTCGAGTTTGACATGCTCGCCAATGTCGCTGAGGTAGATGATACCGTCACCAGGTTTGCCCATTGAATGGTGTTCAGGTCCGTCATAAGGATGTTCGCCATCAGGAGGAGGCATGGGAGGTCCATCAACGACTTCAAGTCCATCGTCTTTCTCTTTGTCGAGTTTGATGTCCACTTCCTCCATCATGCGCTTGAACTCCTCTTCTTGATGCTCAATACGATTGGTGATCTTCCCTTTCTTGGGCTTGTCATCACCATCGTCTCCGTCATCATCGTTTTCATCATCATCATCGTCTTGATGATCTTCAAGGAAATCAGGTGATCCTTCGAGACGATCTTTCACAGCCAACTCTTCCAACGTGGTGTTCACCTTCTCGTAGATGTCTTTGCATGGGAACGTCAATGGCAAATGCACCTCAATCTTCTCCGTGAGATGTGGATGGCGTAGTTTGTCAATGATCGTCTTGGCATTGAACGAATAGTTCTGCCTCGTCATATCTGACAATGCCCATGCCATATATTGCCGTCGCCAATTGACGCCCGGAGCAATCTCATAACCGGCAAAGACACCAGGGATGCCCTTGGGGTCGAACTTGTGAGCCTGCTCATTGGCTCTGGCTCCACTCGGCTTGAAGTAAACCAAAGCACCAAATGGGATCTTGTCGCCCTTGAACTCGGTACCATGGAGCTTGCACCATGCACTCACATCATCTTCCCCAGGTTCCACGTTGAGTAGATGACATACACATCGTATGGCAAACTTCCAGAAACATGCTGGTAGTCCAGCCTCGAGTAGGCATGTGGTAGTTGTTGCAATGACGAACTGGTTGTTGCGCTCGGCAAGGGAGTTCTTCCCGGCAGAGCATGGTCAAATGGTATCTTGAGTGCTTCCATGCCCTTGACAAATTGTCTAGCTTTGTCGGAGTAAGCTTCTCTAATAGTACGTCTTCCCATGAAGTACTTCACCGCTCTCACAACATCCTCAGTGTTCTTGGTTGGAGATGGGTAGCTTTGAATGATGCCGGTAAACCTGTCTCGAATGACAAGAATCTCCTTAACCGTGTCATAGCCCAACTTGGTCGTCTTGCGAGTATCCATGAAGTCAAAGGTGATGAGGTCGCCGAACTTCGTGAGCTTTCGGCGAAATGCACCTCGGTAAGTCTTGTGGTGCTTCATCTTGGCCCTTACGCAAGAATTGCAGTATGGGTTCTTGTATCGATGTGTCAACAGGTGTTCAAGAGTACGAGCTTCATGTTTCAAGGTACCTCCCTTTGACAGTCGCACTCCTCCATCAGGATCGTCAACATCGATATCATCCTCATCGTCTTCTTCTTCTGGTGGTCCATGTTCAACACCAATTTCATCTTCATCAGATTGATCGACTTCTGGAATATCATCAGCTGCTGGTATCCGATCATCATCGTCTTCCCCATCTTCATCCGCACCAGGAATATCATCAACATGAACATCATCACCCTCTGGGTTCTCCTCACGGATGGATGGTTCATAACCGTCATCATCATCAACTTCTTCACCAGCTGCTGCAGGGACTGTCTTTCGTCTGGAACGCTTCTTCTTCTTCGTCTTCCTCGGAGACTTCGTTGGCCCGTCGACGTACGTACCAACTCCATCCGGCTCGGACATTTCATCACCACTTTCACCATCAAGATATATCGTTCTCGATGCATTGTTGTTGTTGCCCATGAGACCCAACACTTTCATCACCAACTCGGCCTCGTGATCGGATGTGGGCCGATAATCCTTGGCTCCGAGGTAGACATATGGGATAAGATCGTGAACTTCCATCTTGATCTTGTCACCCTCGGAATTGATCATGTAGGGTTCTCTCCCAGTGGGCCAGACAAAGGTATAACCTTGTTCCATGCATCGTTTTCCCAATGATAGAACTGATGGGGTGTCTTCTAACACGTGGGCCTTAGCTGGCTCGTTGAACGTGTCAAAGTCCAAGTCCACCATAGTAGATGTAGATGTGATGCCATTCGCTGTGTGGAAATTAACTTTGTCACTCTGGTACGTGTCAATGTCCATCCGATCCACCCTGGTAGATGAGATGAGATCATGACCACTTCCAGAATCCATGATGAATCGTCTGTCCTTGAGCTCGATCGGCATGGTGATTGACATGATGTTGTCGCGACGTCCATACTTTCCTGGGACATGAGGGATAACTTCCTCGTAACGCATCTCGGCTCTTGAGTTGTTCTCCAGATATTCAATATCGTTGATCTTGAGCTTAATGTCATTCTTGGGGCCCAGGATAACATGTACTTCATCGACATCAGAGAACTCACCATGGTCATCCATCAATATGCCAATTGCTCGTGCTCTCGTCATGCCCAGCTTAGATTGCAACATATATTGCTGGTCATCCATGATCTCTTTTGTAGTTCTGCACGTCAACGATTGCTTCTGAGCTCGAGACAGATTCCTTCTCGGTTTTCTGTTGGAACATTCCACAAAGTCAGGCTTCACATACTCGTGCCCATCCACATGGTAGTTGAACTTGACATCCATCTTGTTCTTCTTCTCGCTCGGCACAGCCTTCGCAATGATGTCATCATCGTATTTTCGGACCAACGCAGGAGTGGCCTTGGCATCGGATGTCTTCGTCGAAGGGGCAGCTCTCTTGCCTTTCATGCTTGGATCATGCTTGAAAGTGCATTTGTCTCCCTTCTGACAGTCCCCCTTCAACCACCCGTAGCAGTTGCGGTCCTTCTTTCCACCAGGAGTCTGTGACCTTCTTGGGGTAGCCGATCTGCCACTCTTGCCCTTGTCACCTTTGTCTTTCCTCCTATCCCAATGATATTGAGAATGGCTGTATTGGCATTTGTCACCATGCTTGCAATTCCCTTTGTTGAAATGGAAGTGACAAAAGGTCTTGGAGGTATCTTTGGTAGAAGGTGATCTCGATCTTCGACCACCCTTGCCTTTCCCTTTGCCGTGGCTCTTAGGATTGCCAGAAGGAAGAACTGGGGCCCCAGGCTTACCTTTGGGTGCTGGTGCACTCGGCTTTCCGGTCTTGCCATCCTTTGGCGCAGGAGTTGGAGCCGCAGGCTTTGGTGCAGGAGTCGTTGGCTTACCAAGATTGGTGTAGTCAGTGGCAAACTTGTCCCTGGCTGCAATGTTCCTATCCTCACGCGCACGTGCAATGTGCCTCTTCATGATCTCCAATAACTATAACTCTTCATAGGACTTCCTTTTGCCATCATTGTCCCTGCCTTTGAAGATCGTGAGGTCGACATGCAGCGCTTGGGAGTTTTCAATCTTCCTCAGGAGGTGATCACGTAGTGTGTTGTCAGATGGGATGTCCTCAACCTTCATATTGGCGATGATGTCGATCCATGCATTGAGGAACTTATCCATCTCTTTGTCACCACGATACTGTAGCTTGTAGATGTGGCTGGCATTGAACAACACTTCATCTTTAGATGTCGTTCTGAAATGATCAAGTACCATTGCTAAAATCTCTCTACCCATCAGGAAGTTCCCTTCTTTACCAAGTACTTGACTCCTCTGTCTAATCCGCACCTTGACCTCGAATGCCGTTTCACCAGCAGCATCCACCATATTCTGCAAGGCAATGGACAGCTTGGAGTCAATCGACTGGAAGCGGAATTCACCTGAGTCAGCGAGTTCAGCATAGTCAGGATTAGGAAGTTGGGCAGGAGTCAGCAGTCAGCCATCTTCTCCATGCAGCCGTGTCGGGATCTCCTGATGCGACACATACAGCTTGTACAACGTTTGAACGCCATACATCAAGATCTTGACATTTGGGCCATGGCTTGACGATGACCTTCTCATGCTCCTTCCTCGAGATTCGAGTAACCCATTCTTTCCCATCTTGATCAAGGTTGCTGTCGGCAACACTAACATCTTTGCCGTCTTTTCTGTCCCAAAGTCCAGGTGGATTGTCAGGAACGGGATCATATTCAGGAGCATTACTCTCCTTCACTGTGTCTTGTCCTTCTTCCACCTGTTCTAACCAACTTTGGTACTATTTCATCTCATCATAGTTCTGTTGTGCTCGTTCCTCAGCTTGGCGAAGCTTCTCACGGAGGTCTTCCATCTCATTAGTGACCGTGTTGCCAATGGTGCTGTTCGCATCAGGAGGGTTTGGTACTGCAACTATGTTGTTCTTTGCTGATGGTGAAGCTTTGGGAGTTTCCCTTGGTGTCGCAATCGATACTGCAAAGGAAGGTGTTTTGGCTGCCGATGTCTTTGTTCTCGATGCCACGCTTCTAGGAGGCAAGGCTGAAGGTGATGCCGGTACCGTAGCAGTAGAAGCCGGTGCATTCCACGAGGCAGGCATTGACTGCATTGCCAACTTCGCATCATGGAGTGATAGCTTCAAGGAGTCATTCTTCCTGATTGTTGCCTCGCGTTCTGCACAAGCCGTCTTGTACAACTTCTTGTACCTGTCTGCTTCAGCTTCCTCTGCATTGATGAGTGCCTCAGTCAAGTTAGGGTTGCTCTCAACTCCTTCTTGGAGTCGACCAATTTCCAGGTTTGCTTTTCAAAGTTCTTCATGCAACTCTTCAATTACCTTGGCACTGGTTTCGTCATTACTGAGATCGAGCCGTGACCCAAGAAGTTCAGCAACTCGTGTTCTCAGTTGGTTGTTGGACTCGATCAACTTCATGTTCTCGTCCATGAGCTCATCTTTGACAGCCTCAACAGAGAGTTCTCTATCCTTGAAGGCTTGGAGTTCAGTGTACCTGAACCTCCTGTACTCATTCTTCTCTTCGATGAATCTCTCTTCATGCCATTCCTTCGAAGCCATCTCGTTCTCGTTCAATCTCATGAGGCTTCTGATCTCCACTTGCAGCTCATTGCGCTTCATCAAGTGTTCATCCTCCTTCTTCTGAGCCATGTTCGCCAAGTCTCGGACCTTCGTGAAGTGATCACGTGTTGCACTGTCCTTGGCGGCAATGATGTCATCTCTTCTTCTCAAGCTTGCCGTCAACTCATTGATAGTTGGTTGCATCCCCGCCAATTGTCCATCTCGTAGTGCGACAGCTTGTTGACCATGTTCCATGACCATCTCATTGTTGACAACCATCATCTGCGAACTCTCCGCTAGTTTCTGCTTTAAGATTTCCATCTCCTCCTTGTTTGCCATTTCCTTCTCATTGACATACTGTGCACATGCTTCGCGCAATTGTAGTCCATCTTGACGGTAGTGATTCGCCATAGCTTCAGACACTTCTTGTTGTTCACGAATGAGTTGTGACGCGTTCTCCAGTTCAGAGTGGTATCTTCTCCTCATAGCCATGCTTTCCTGGACGATGTGGGCCGCACCTGCTTCAGCGAGTTGACCACGTTGTCCAAGCTCGTAGATCCTCTGTGTCGAACCTTCGTCCATGAGGTGTGCCTCAGCAAGAGCATTGGATTGTTCGTCCAGCAGGTTGTATGCATCGATGAAGGATCTTCTCATGAATTCCATCTCTGAGTTGACATGTTCCTGATATTCTTCATGATGTTGATGTGAATAGACCTCTACGTTGTTGATCATTTGGTCACGATGTGAAAGAACATCTTGATATAAGGCCAGTCTATTCTCTAGTTCAGTCCTTGCTTGCTCACTTCTCTCCAACTTCTCGACGTTTCGTTGTAGTTGACGTCGTGGCCGCGTCTCGCTCTCATTCCTCGTAGCACTGGTCGACGACTTGCGTTTGGATGAGGCGGCAGACTTGCCTACCTCATCCTCCCGCGTGGCCGTGCCCGACGGGCTCCGGCCACCGTTGTCGCCACTTCCAGCAGCACGAGATCGTGGAGCTCGAGGAGACCTTGCCGACGTCGATCTGTTGGCACTTCCCCGTAGGGCATCAGCATGTGTAACCACCGTGAAGCTATTTGTAGATGCTACACTTCCAGGCGCTCGGTACGAGACTGTACCGCCGCCGCCGCTCTCTTGGGATCCGGGCGTATCATTGATCGCCGGAGCTGGAGCTGCATTTGCTCCGAAGGTAAAGTTCGTGTCGTTGCTGCTCGACTGGTTGTTCTGCGACATCTTCTTGTGATCAGTCCACCTCCGTTTAGTGCAGGTCTATGACTTGTAGAAGGGCAGGAGGACCGGGATGCCGAAGAGGACAATGTACAAGTGGGACCACCGTACGCCCAGTCAGAGCGTACGGCTGATAACCTGTGAATGGGCTGTTGTGTCCTTTCCCAACGTGTATATGCCCTTGGGGTTGATCGATTCTATGTGGTTGTCCTCGAAAGCCTGGCTGCAGCAACGCGCCCTTTTCCATGTGTGAGAGCTGTGCGGGTCTTGAGCCAAGCAGAGCGGGCGGCCATGAATTATTGTTAGTTACCGCTGCACTCTGATCTACATGCTTTTCACAAAATATAACATTACAGAGAGCGAGCAAACGTGCATCATTTTGATTTTCCAGATGTCAGCCACTTGCAGCCACTTGCAGCCACTTGCCCCGTCAGCCACTTGTAACCCCTTGCAGCCACTTGGCAGCCACTTGCCCCGTCAGCCACTTGTAACCCCTTGCAGCCACTTGGCAGCCACTTGCCCTGTCAGCCACTTGCAGCCACTTGCAGCCACTTGCAGGCACTTGCCCCGTCAGCCACGTGCAGCCACTTGGCAGCCACTTGCAGCCACTGTCAGCCACTTGCCCCGTCAGCCACTTGCAGCCACTTGCAGCCACTTGCAGCCACTGTCAGCCACTTGCCCCGTCAGCCACTTGCAGCCACTTGGCAGCCACTTGGCAGACACTTGCTCCAGTGGCTGCAGCAAGTGACTGCCAAGTGGCTGCCAAGTGGCTGCAAGTGGCTGCAAGTGGCTGACGAGGCAAGTGGCTGCAAGTGGCTGCAAGTGGCTGACATCTCGAAAATCAAATTGCGCACCTCCTGCGCCCACAATGTAACATAATTATATAACCTCGCCAGACACATTTCAAGTCTTCAAGTGTAAAGAACTCAGGTAGCTCAGGCGAACTTTTGTATCCTTTCGTGATTACGTGGTGACATGTTTGGTTGGTCCATAATTGGACAATTTTGTAGCTGCTTTGTTTGATCGGCCAACCTTTTTAGACACCATTGAAATCCACGTAAAATAAAAAACGATGGACAAAGGAATAAAAATGATATAACAAGAAGCCTAGGTATTTACATGAATATGGAAAGGCTACAGTATAGTAGTATAGAAAGACAAAGGATTGTAAATAGGATCCTTTATACAGAGGGATCTTGTGTAGGACTGGGAACACTTCGGCCCAAATGAATGCTTCTGCCTTGCAGTCCTGTTGCACGGCCATCAGCACCAAGGGTCGATCATTGCGCATCTCTGGTGTAAGAACCTCCAAGGCCAAGCCGCTTCGTTTCACAGCAAGCCTTGCCATTCGATAGTCAGTTCGAAGGGATGGAGCAGCAAAAGCAAGCGAATGCCAGTCCTGTTGCTTCTCCAATGACAAGGTTGAAACAGCGTGAAACAGCTTGAAACAGCTTGAAACAGCTTGAGACAGCTTGAGGAGACTAGCGGCTAGCGAAGTTGGCGCAGTTGCCAAAAAAAATAGTTTCCAAAACTATGGCACATAGTGGTGAAAGACCAAAACAGATCACGGTGTATCGTGGTCTATCCAAAGTTTACACTGCTCATGGATAGGTTGGCCCGCAACTGCCGGGAAACGCGACCTGAACAACAGAGTCCTTCTGCAGAGCCAGTTTGATGATCTTTGGGTTCGCACGGATGGATGCAGACGCAAATTGCAGGACACGCCAGCTAACCTGGAACGCCTCCATAAAGAGGTCTATCCTGTAATGCTTGTCCTTGTTGACTGAAGATGGCTAAAGCGAAAACAACTCTCTCACCCTTTTTACGTCTGCTTGATAGGGCAAAGGACAAAGTGATCGGCAGCAACAAAGCTTTACCAACAGATAAGTCGAGCAAGGATCCATACACACTACCAAAACGAAATTCAATGGCCCAGAATGGGCCAAGTTCATCAAGGGTTGAAGATCATCCACGTCACCATCCCCTAGCAAGAGCCGCTGTCGCCCACGGTGTATCTTCTCCGTACGTTCTAGGATCTTTTTGATGTCGGCGACTAACCAACTCCTCTCCGCCTTGATGGTCCTCAAAGGCCCCTGGATGTCACTGATGTTCACATCGATTTGCATTGACATTTGCTTTGACATTTGCTTTGACATGGACGCGCCCTCCTCCTCCACCTCCTGCGCCATGAGTTCCTTGCGCACTTGTTGTTCCTGCGTCCGGCGCCAGGCGTTCACAATGTGCTGCTCAGCGATGCACTCAGCCGGAGACACTTCTTGCGAATCGTCCTCATCCAGCTGGACACCTTCGTCCTTTGGTCCGGGTATGTCACATGATGTCGGGTTCAATCTTAGTGTCAACAATATCAAGGGTATCAACCAAGAAAATGTGGGAATATGAATCCTTGCACCCAGACAGTGTTGTGCAGGGTTGATTCAGTGTCAAAGATTATGCATGATACCCAAACAATGATGGCAAATGATAGCTACATGCAAGGGGAAAAACTGCAAATAATGTGTTTCATCGAAGCATCTTCTCGAGCTCTATCCTGCCCGTCGTTTAACATTTCCTCCTCACGTTCCTGTCTCCTCGCATCTTCCTCTCGCGCGGCTGCAATGGCAGCATCCAGCCGACGCTTCTGCTCGGCCTCCTCAGCTCGTCCAAATCTCTTAGAAAGAAAACAAGAAACAACTGACTGCGAGATATATACTATACTATACTATACTCTACTATACTATACTTTACTATACTACACTATACTATACTATGCTATGCCATGCTTTACCATACCATACCATACCATACTATACTATACTTACAATACGTATACGTGCATGCAGTCTGTCACGGGGATGATCGTAGAGGTAATTTCTGGAGTGGATTCCCTACAGCCGTTCCCATAGACTAGCAGGAGGCTTCTGATTCCATTATAGCGTGTTATATTAATTTTTTGATTTTTTATCTAATTATATTACAATATAATAGATTGTATTGGATTATCGAAGGAAGTTTAGAAGCCAAACTTCCGACAATATGGACAGATGAAGCAGAGATGGGAAGAGTCAGAGAGAAGAGAAGAGTAGAAGAGAGAAGATCAGAGAAGAGAAAGACACAGAAAGAAGATGCAGATGCGCGAAAAGGTAGGAAAGTTGCGAAACACGCTCCGGAGGGTCGAAAAGTAGGCTCGCTAAAGCGGCGGGTGCGGAGCCATCTGGCCAGATGAGAGATGAAAAATTGCACGCCGTTGTGGCACGACGCACATTTCGAAGTCAAAATGTACAAAACACACCAGGTCCGGACAACGTTTGGAAGTTGAGATGTCGAAAAAGTGCACGCCGTTGTGGCGCGAAGCACATTTCGAAGTCAACATGTTAAAAACACCAGGGGTTCGGACCACTTTTGGACGTTCAGATGTCGCTTCGCGTGGCAGGCGCAAGGGATTGCGCACCTTCTCAAAAGTGAGCAAAGCGTGAGGGTTTTGTAGCATTTCCAAAAACGATGGCAGGCGTGGGACATTTGAAGAGGATCTGCAAAGATGCATTTCGCACGGCAGGCGCAGTACAAAAGACATGTTCATCAGAGATGTTAGGAGGTCAGG